CCCTTCCCTCCCCGCGGCCGCACTGCGGGGGCCAGCCCGGGCCGCCCACCCTCGGCCGCCCCAGCGCCAGGCCCGGAGGTGACCGGAGGGACGAAGAGGGGCCGAGGCTGGGAGGGTGGGGGGGGGGGGGTAGCAGCGGCTCCCCGCCGCACTCACTATTCCTTGATGAGCACCATGGCGGTGCCGCCGCGCCTCCCGGCCGGGCCAGCCCCGCTGAAGGTGACAAGGAGGCGCGTCCCCCGGGGGCCGCTCCGCTGCCGGACGGCGATGGAGCCGAGCGAGCCGAGCCGAGCCGAGCCGAGCCGAGCCGAGCGCGCCGCACCGGGACGGGGGGGCCGGGCCGGGGGGGGCCGGGGCGGTTCGTCTCTGCGGCAACGGCTGCGTCACCTCCGCGCCGCGCGCGGGGCGGAGCCCGCGCGGCCCCGCCCACCGCCCCCCTCAGCGCGGCGCGAGCGCGGCCCGCCGATTCTTTTGGTTTTTTTTTCTCTGTGTTTTTTTTTTTTTTTTGGGCTATGAAGTCGCTCCTTTAGGGGTTCTCCCAAGAGGTGTAAAACTAAACCGCACCGCTGCGGTTTGTTTCGGCTCTCCGAGACTTTGGGGTTCCCAAGGCGGTGCAGCGGTCTCCCAGCAGTGCCGGAGTCCGCTGGCAGTCCCTCGGATTTTTCTGAGTCAACTCCGATGTTTTTAATTACAGCAGCGTCTTTAGGGTCTATCTCTCAAGAGATGTAAACTGCGCGGTGTTAATCGTTTCAGCTCTTAAGGCTGGCGTTCCCAAGAAGTCTCCCAGCAGTGCCACGAAGCCCTCCTGGCACTAGGGAGGTTCTACAATCATAATGCCATGAAATGGATGGGGTTGGAAGTGACCTTAAGGATCATTCAGTTCCAGCCCCCACCCCCGTGCCCTGGGCAGGGACACCTCCCACTATCCCAGGTTGCTCCAAGCCCTGTCCAACCTGACCTCAGACACTTCCAGGGATGGGGCAGCCACAGCTTCTCTGGGTGACCTGTGCCAGGGCCTCACCACCCTCACAGGGAAGAATTTAACCTAAATTTCCCCTTTCAGTTTGAACCCATTACTTTTTGTCCTGTCACTCCAGTTCCTGATGAAGTCACTCTCTGCCTTCCCTGTAGGGCCCCATCAGATACTGGAAGGGGCTGTGAGGTCTCCACAAAACCTTCTCTTCTCTAGGCTGAACAGCCCCAAATTTCTCAGCCTGTCTTCGCAGTGGAGGTGTTGCAGTCCTCTTGCCAGCTCCCGACCCCCCTCTTTTGGGAGGGTGAGGAAAGGGAATGACTAGTGATCAGGGTATTAATGCAAATATCCGGGGATAAGTCAGTGCTACAATCAGACAGGGTGAGTGTCCTCAGGTAATGGGCTCCACCTTGTCACCAGGTCATGATTTATCGCATTTTCAAGTCTTCTTTAGTTTTCAAAATTACTGCTGAGCTGCAGTCACCCAGGCTGCACTTGGCATCAAGAGGAACTCCAGATATTTATTAGAAGGCGATAGCAAAAACCCTTTTCTGTGATCTGTACTCAGTAAAAAACACTAAGGGGTGCTAATCTTACCACTTTTGTCACTGGAATCACAGAGCAAGGATTGTCATTATTGGATTGGAAAAGTAAACCACCATAGATTTAGCATCACCAAGCTCGAGAGGGGATAACCGAGATGTGCAGCTTTCCTGCTGACACCTGAATTCCCACCTAAGGTCAGTTGTTCATCTTTCAGTATTTGACACTAATTCACCCTGCATAACTGAGCTTGATCTCATTCTCAACCTGCCCTCTACGGTTTGGGGACTTTTTCCAGAGATTAAATTTTAATTCTCCAGTAGAGCTTAATTGGCATTACTATTAGCTCCTAACCTAGGGAAGAAAAATTCAAGGAAACATTTAATCTGTGTCCTGCCCTTTGGCAGGTGACACCCTGTAAAACATTCATGCTTCCATAGTCTCATTAGGAAGCAAACAATGCTTTTGTTATGTTCAGCCTCAGAAGGAAAACTAATGATTAACTTAATATCACTTTATTTTGAGATAGTACTGCAAGAGTGCACATCACCTTACAAACACAGAGAAGATGACACAGGCCTGCCCCGAGGAGCTTACAGTTCAACTTTGACAAACACCACAAAAAATCCTGTGGACAGCAAAAGGTGGGAGAGGTAATGCTCTTGGGTTAAAGAGGGGGTTTTCTGAAAGAAGGGATTGTCTCCAGAATAAAAAGTGAGTGACAGAGGGTCAGGCATAAGGAAGTGACAGGCAGCAGTAGGGTGACAACGTGGAGTAGAGGACACCTGATAAAAACAGATTGCACAGAGACAGGCTGGCAGCACAGGCAGAAAAACAAGGAGCTGCGGGGGTTTATAATTAACATGTAAGAATGCAGCTACATAACACATCATTGTTTCAGCTACTCCAGAGAAGATAACATTGTGAATTATAAATCAGAATTGGCTTTTTTTTTAATTAAAAAAAAGAAAAAGAAAAAAAAACCACAACCAAACCCAGTCCCTTCCCATCAGGAATCCTACTGTAATACTCATTTCCATTATCTACAAAAGAAGTACTTTGCAGTTCTAAATTGGGGCATAGGGAATACCAAAATCTCTGCAGATGCAGAAAAGACTCAAAAGGGGGGGAAAAAAGTAACAAAATTTGTAGGTTTAAGATTTCTTTTTTACCCTATGCTATCTGCTTCAAATTTTGTAGCATATTTTCCAAATTCATCAGCATGTCAGGAGGGAAATCTCCTACTAGAAAACATTTTAGTGATTTACTGACTTAGTTACAATCTCATTATCCTGCGATTTTCCTTTGTAGATGGAGCATGAAAAGACCAGGCTTTGCTGTGGGAGTTGAACATTTTAGTTGCTGTAGCAGAATTGCAGTTAAGTTGGAGCCTCAGCAAGATTTGCTCTTTTTTTTTTTGCATACATCTGTGTCCAGTTTCATCTCAAGGATCCAGATATAGCTTTATGCAGTTACTGTCATAGTGTAAGTGTCCTATTAAAGCAGAACAGCACAGATTTTCTCTGCTACTTTTGACACAGTGTCATTGCATTAGTGCTATAAAGACTGTGTCAACAGGGCTTAGGCACTGACAGATTAGTGAAAGCAAAAAGCTGTCATCCTCCATTCCCCACTCTGTGAATTTAATTTTTTATATGTATTTTTTTAGCATGGATGCACATTAAATGCATGTGAGTCTGTAGGGGTCAGAAGCAGCGTTTTCAGAAGGTGCAATCACCTTTACACAGCAACACCCTTGAGTCTGAGGGCCCCTACAAACACCAAGTACTCACAGATGAGGTTTCTGCTTCATTACATTCCACTGGGGATGCTTCCATGGAGGTCTTTCCCACGACCACCCTCCTTGCACTTCTCGTATGAATGAGGGTTAGGGGGGGTACAAGGGGCATAAAAAAACCCCAAGACCTACAAATTCATAATTCAGGAATTATGAAAGTAGTTAAACACACTGACCTATACTTGAGTTATAAAGGTAAATGCATTATTGATTCAAATTGCTGTGGCTCTCCAGCCTTTGGTAGCCCATCTATTTTTCCCACAAGGTGGCTCATGCACACAGAGAGTGCACCAGGAATTTTCTTGATCCTTCATCTCTCAGCTAGAAGGCAGCAATGCTGTTTTCCACTCCAAACATTTGTAATCCACAATTACATTTCCCTGAGCCTCAAAAAACGAGGCAAACTGACCCTGATCCACCACATGTGACGGGACCACCCTGACAGTGTTTGTTTCTGCACTGTGCATGACAACATTTAAAGATACTGAAGGCAGAATATTGTCCTCCAAGGGCCCATTGCTGCAGAAGGTGCAGGACTGAAGCAGTTACGCCACAATCAGTAGAGTATTTGCACATCTTGCATGCAGATATATTTGAGACTGCTTTAAAATTAGTTTGGTTCACAACTGTCACAATAAATTAAACCCCGCTAGTGTCAGACCAGTGTTTTACCTTAGCCCAGCATGTTTTCTTCATCTTTGACCAATTCTTAAAAGACAGAATATGTAGACAGAACAATAATCTTTCCTTGGCACAACTTTCTTATTTACAGCAACTTAAAATCTCCCTGAGTTAGTGGATGCAGAGCATTGTTTAACCAGCCCCTTAAAAAAAAAAAAAAAAAGAATTTATACTTCTGTTCCCCACTACATTCTGTAGCAATGACTCCCACAGTTTGTTGCATGGCCTGAGAAGGTGACACCACTTGTCTGTTCAACTCTGAATAGGTAAAACTTCCCTGTGTACCCACTAGGACTGCGACTCCAAGGCATGAGCTCTGCTCCTCACAGCTGACCAGCAGCTTCTAAACACCATGCCACATCAGCAGAGACATTAAAAGTCACATATCCACCATTTTATCAGATGAAATTGGATTTGAAGGTATTCCTAATAAAGGGCAGGGACTGGGAACTGCAGTAGGGAGGTAGATGGCAGAAATAAAAGGGTGTTCTTTGAAGTATGTGCAGCAGCAACTCCACTGCGACTTCATGAAAATATGCCACTCTATATTCCACTATTTTGCAGAGACATTTATAACAGGAATTCAAGTGACATAAGAGTGGAAGCAATCACATTCAGTGTTCTGAAACTGAGGGGGAAGTAATGCTGAGTTAGCACACTGACACCCTCCAGCAGCTTCTCTGCTTTAGGACACTGAGACTGTGGATGGTGGCTCAGACACTCACCTGTCTGAGCTATTCCTATAAAAAGGTACTTAATCTGTCATTCTCGTGTCACAAATATCTTGGAGCAAGAGTAGGACTCTTCTCAAAATATTTAGAAGTATTGTAATATTAAATGCAGAAACCTGCAGAAAGCCCTCTGGAAACCTAGGCAAGTGGGTCTCTAAACATATACACCAGGTGAACAGGAAAATTAACCAAAACTCTGCCTCCTTAATTATTGCTCGACACAAAAGAAAGAAAAGCTGGGAAGGTCACTGAATCAACACCAAAAGACAAAAAGTTCCAGAAGAGTAAAGTGTTGACAGCAGGCAATAAGGCTGTCTTGGAACAAACACATTTAATAAAGGCAACACATTAAGAAAAAAAAAATAATTCACAAATGTGTCAAATGCTCAAGTGGTGAGTCCTTTTGAAACGAGTGGCTGAAGACTGAAAGGTACCGTGGAGCAGCATCGGAACTGCTCACAGGAGCAGCGACTCGAGATGGCGCTGCCGTCCCACGGAGCTGCCTCGTCATCCTGCGCTGGCAAAGGACCCGCAGGGCTCCAGCCGTCCTGCCCAGGCTCTGTGCACGCTTGCTCTTTAGGAAAGGTGAAGCCCTGGCTGGGCTGAGCATCTGTATGCTTTGAACCGTCAGAGAAGGAGTTAACACCCAGTTTCCAGGTAATTTCTCTCAGGAAGGTTTGAGCAGGTGTTGTTGTTTCTAATCCTCCTCTTAGCGCCAACAGCGATTGAGTCTTGTACTTTTCCAAGCAGACATAGAGAAGTTGAATGACTTACCCCCTGCCAGGCTTTGCAGTAAAACACCACCACATCTTCATGATTGTTTTGTTTCTGCCCCAACCTTTCTGCAGCCACCAGCTCAGCCCGGAGCACCCACCGGGGATGCTCATCCTCACCCCTGCACAGTCCTGCTCCGAGCAGGACCAACAGTGTTAACGCAAGTCACAAGGCTACAGGGCCTGAGCTACTGACCTCAGCAAGAAGGTTAAGGGCAGAAAAATCTGCTTTAGACAAGACCTCTATAAAAATAAGCAGGTTAAAAATTCCCTTTGTATTCCCTCCCTAGTGAACAGGCCTGGGGCACCTTTACCCACGTGTATTGCTCTGACAGTCGGCTTCACCATACAATCAATCACCACATGCTCTGTCCAGACAGAGCATCAAAAAGGCTCCTAATACAGCCAAACTGGCATTTGGGTCAGTCAAACTAACCTGGTGACTATGGTCAGAGCAATGTAAATAAGCATGGCTAAAGGAAAAATTACATCACCACATCGCCCTGCCGTGCCCACAGGATCCAGTTACCAGACACAAAGGAGTGTTCTGCATTCTTGATTCTTTTCACCAGCTCACAACACGTGAACACCAAGGTATCTGGAGCCCCAGAACTCAGCTTCAAGAAGTTTCTCCACTTTACTAAATACACATTGCTGCTCCCCTCCCAGGGTCATGTCAAAGGGAAGAAGAGGCAAAAGGCAACAAGTCTCAAAAGCACTTCATCTGTAAACAAGATCCAATTCCTATCTCAAGGGTTCCAGGACTGCAGACAGTTTAAAACACATACAGGTGGTTTGTGAACCGGGAAGAGGAAGAATTCCAGGCCTCTGAAGGCTTGGTCTAGGACAAGCAGTCCACTGTAGGCTCTTCATTTCTTTATGGAAGGCAGATCCATTGCTCACAGTCTGTGTCATTTGCAGTAATAAAAGGTTTGGGAGCTGTCAGTGATAGCAGCCAACATTTAGCAACACAGTGAAGCTGTGCTCATACACATAGGAATAAAACCCCCTTCCCTGCCTCAGAAACAGTCTAGGGTATGTCTGGATAGACAGTAAAACCACTGGGTCCAGCTACACATCAAGCAGAAAGACCATTATGAAGCCTCAGGGAGGAAGGAGAGTGCAGCTTGCATCCGAGACTGTGTCAGCCAAGGCTGGGGGAAGAGGGGGAGAAAACAGACTTCACTGCGTTACACTTGCAAACTCAAACTATGGTCTGTCTTCCCTCTTCTCCCATCCCTCTATTCCTTCTGTCCCCAATCTCCTATGCAAACTCTCTGCTGCTGGAGAGCGTGATCAGGGGATAATTTAAGACACAATATCTGTGTGGCCTTTAAAAAAAGAAAAAGTGTCCCGTGTTTTGGAGTAAGGAGTAGGAAGTCTCCTCCTGCCATATATCTGAGGAAATCTCAGTCACGATGTCCGGCCCTCACTCCAGTGATGAGCAAAGACTGGCAGAGCCAGGGGAGGAAAATCCTGGCTTACACCACAGGTAGAACCCACGGATGTGGTAGGAACCTGTACAGGGGAGGTTGTATGTGAAGCACCAGTTTAAACAAAGGCTTCCTCAGTGGGAGTGCCATTGATTTTGAAGAAAAGTTTGGCGTCTTCCATCTTCTGCTTTTTTTCTCTCTCTAGCCTGCGTCTGTAGCAGACCAGGTAGATTGGAAGGCAGAAACCCAGGAGGCTCATGGCAAGCAAGCCAACATTCACCTGCAGGAAAAAAAGCAAACCAAAATTAGGCAGGCAAGGGAGGACGACAGCTCAGTCACGCATCCTGCAGTGTCAGAACCCAGCCCACGTCACTCAGCTGTGGGCAAACCAGGACACGCCCTGCTCAGTGTATTGGCAACATCCTCCACTGTTTTTATATTTACACTCCTGTGCCCAGAGTACCATGTGTACAAGCTACACACTGTAAGAGTTTGTTGCTCAGGATTATGGCTGTGGGAGTCTCATTCCACAGAAAAAGCTGCAGCTCCTTCACACCAAGTTGGCTGATTGAAGAGCAACAGGCTGCTGGCGTGGGCACACGTAGCCTAGAGACCAGAACTCTCCACCCATGTCATTATTTTATTGAGCTGCCCAGATTCTCAGCAAGACACCACATTACCCCTACCCCTCAACAGCCATTTGGCTTTTTGGACATTAGCATCAGCAATCCAAAATTTACTGGTAAATGGAGCTAAGAGCTCTTAAGGGTCAGAGTATTTCTATTGTATTTTGAGGTCTCCTCACATTCACTCACTTTGACTTGACAGATTTTGACTCACCACGTAAATTGTTAGTGGAAAGCATTCCCTTTCCCCCTTTCCATAAACCAGCATAAGGGTTAATGGCTTTCCCTCCCAGTGAGTCATTACTCACACAGAGAAGGGTCTCCTGGACAGCACCAAGGTAACAGCAGATTAAGGGACAGGTAAAAGTCCAGCTGTTTTTAACCTTGGTTCATGCACAGGAGTCCTTTTGTTTTCCAAGAAATGAGCCAAAACCCATCTTAACCACCCAAGCTTTCACATGAAATTTAAGAAGAACTTGCCCAGAGGGGGTCTCCTTTCAAAGGTCCTGTCAGTGCCATGAAGAGAGGCTGCTGCAGAAGGGCAAAGAGGGCACTGATCAACGACTGCAACCCTGTCAAGCTGCCAAACTGAGTAGAGGGGTATCTGTCAACAAAGAGAGCAACAGCATTATAATATGTCACCTTGACCGTTCACATCACCCAGATCAGATTACACTCCCAGTCAACTAATAGAGACTAATTTATAGAGACTAACTTGAGAGCACAGTCCCAAGACAGGCACAATGTGCAAGACTTCTCTCTCCTGGACTCAGGTATAACTACCTCTTTTTACAGGGTATTTGGCTATACCCCATGGTGGCCCTGGTGCCAAGGCTGGAGCCTTCCTCTCCAGACTGTTCTCATCCTAAGCTCTCAAACTTTAATATAAAATCCAGAACTTGTTTTGTTTTGCAGCTGTACTGTAGGCAGGTGGAAGTGCTTATACAACTACTGTTCCTATTGCACAGGGAGCAGAGTGTTGATATTTACAAGTTGAAAGCAGGGCCTCTTTATCCAGATGACAGCACTTGTGGCTGAGCAATTGTTTTTATCTGGTCACAACAATTTGCTCCCTTTCGAAGTGAGTGAAACCTGCACAACAGGTATGTGTTTTCCTTTTTAGAGGACAAGTCTGATCCTATGTCAAACTAAATAACACTGTTGACTGAATTGATGAATATCAGATAATACTAATGGAAAAACAAATTTCAGAAACCATCTGACATCTTTCTCTTTCCATGACTGAGCAGTGTTTAAAAAGAGTCAGGTTAAACTAAGCTTGGAAGGAGAGAAAGAAGTGGGTCAAAACCTTCAAATATTGAAATAAGTCACATTCAAAGCAAAAATACCTCACTCCAGGAAGTTCCAGAGAGTTGCAATGGCCAAACAGGATTAGTTTACAAGCAAGCTGATATGTACAGCAACATACATTTATTTACCTTGCCCAAGACAAAATCTTTTACTTCTAGCTGCCAGGAAACCAAAAGTTTATGCATTTTTGAAGCAGAGTCTTAGATGGGTTTTCTAGTCTGGATTCCATAGACACTGGGACCAAAACCTTTGACAGAAGGAGTCTGTGGAATTGTGGAGTCTCCATCCATAGAGATATTCAAAACACAACCGGGTGCAATCCTGGGCAACCTGCTCTAGCTGACTTTGCTCAAGCATGAGAGATGAACTAGATGGTCTCAAGAGGTCCCTTCCCACCTCAACGATTCTGTGATTCCCTGAAAGAGAACATCTCCTTTCTGTTCCTCTGTCCCAACAGCTCAGGACAGAGGGGCAGATCTGTTTTCAAAACCAAACACGTTGCTTAACGAGGAAGAGAGTATTTAGATTCAGCTATCGATAATTTTGATAAGGTGGAAACAAGATGGATGATCTGTCCTGGGAAAGGGAGGAGGCATCACTAATGCTATCTTGAGCAATGCTTTACCAGTGTAACTTCAGAGCAGAGCAGCAGCGATGTTTTCAGTTACGTTAATGTTTTACTTGGGCACATGCACATATCTGCTCATTGTAAGACAAAAACAGCCTTGAGCTTTTACTATATAACCGTAGTGTCAATACCTAAGTCTCACCTGAGGCCCACACAGAGCTGTGCCTGTCTCACTGCAGTAGCTATGCCAAAGGGATTGGCTGTTGCTAAACAAGGAAGGCACCAGCTGGGACTTCAGTCTAGTTACTGTCATGTCTAGTGGTGACTGTAGAAACAAGTTGCATCATTTTTCCCCTCTGACCATGAAGACTTCACTTCCTGATCTCCCTCTCACCTGGACAGCCTATCATCCCAAAACAGTTTATCTGGCCAGCCACATTTTATAGGTAACCAGAGACTTACACAGCAGCATAAAGGCCTCCCACAGCTGAGTGGATGAATCCTCTCACAATTGTGTGCAAAATGAAGGAAAGAATCTGAAAAGAGAAGCAGAAAAAAAATGTCACATTTGAGATACCACCCAGGCCCCAACACACAACCACTCCTAAAAGCTGTTCTTTCTAGTACAAAGGTGGGATTGGATAACCCAGAACCAAAACCCAAAATATCACCACAAGGGAAGAAATCTGTAGTTGTCTCAAGGCACTGCTTTTCCTTTCTTTGCAGAGGCCCCTGAGGTTAATCACACACAAGACCTCTCTCATTTGCAGATGGCACTGCTGCCAGGACGTGTCCCCAGCAACCTGTGACCAGGACCACAAGTGCTTTTTCATGGCGACCAATTTAGTTAATTTTCCACAAGTTATTGCGGACAACACACAAGTAGGAGCAAATTACATCTGTTTGCCTATATCATCAAGGCATGCTTAAGTATAGCATAAAATCACTAAACTCCTCTGCCAAAAATAGGTGGTGCCACAAAATAAATATTTTAACAGGTTTACAATCCCACATGTACCATTGGGCACAGCATTTGACGCAGAAATAACCTGCTGTATATAACCCCGTGTTGTGCTTCTTGCAGCAAATTTTCCAACTGTCAGCAGCTTAAATCAAGCCCAGGTTAAACATACAGGCACTGCTGAAGAGGATCTTGGTAGGAAAGTATTTGTTGTTACACAGCTCAGCTGCAGAAGCTTCTAAGTGTGAATAAATTCTGGATCAAATCTGACATTTTAACTAGAGCTGCTTCTTTTGGTTCTCTCAAGAATATGTAAACTGCATGGTACTATTTGTTTCAACTCCTGGGGTTCCCAAGCAGTACAGAAGTTTCCCAGCAGTGCCAGAAAGCCCTCCTGCCACTAGCACGTTCTCCTGGCACTGTCCTGCCCGTCATTTTGCCCGGCCCCACTCTGCCAGCCCCTCCAGCACCCCCATCCATTCCACCCATTCACCTGCAACGGCAGGTTAGGAATAAGACAGGTGATTCCAAATCCAACCAGCAGGAAATTCGTGAATACAAAGGCATTGGTGGCATTGGTGATTTTCTGGATCTGACGATCACGCTTTTTCTTTTTCTTGTCACTTCTGGAAGGACAGCAAAACCCGTGTTACAAAAGCACTTTCACCAGCAACTGGAACTCACAGCAAGATTCTCCACATATCACATCAACTCTATCTAAACCAGTTTGGCTAGAGGTCTGCCTATGGAGGTGGCTGGGATCTCCATCAGTAGAAGCTGAGGAACATCTGGGTACTTATTTCAGTGCTGTTACTATTACTCTTAGGCTAGGAGGGAAATCTGAGCCTCTCCTGCTACAATTTAAATTCGCTCTTCTTCACTGATCTTAGCAGACACGGAAGATAGTTTGCTCCTTTCCTCTGCAATTATCAAGTCTTCCTTCAGGCTTTCTTTTCTATACTGAAGAGCCAATATTCTTTTCAGTCTTTCATCACAAAACACATAATGCAGAGCAGGGGGGGCCTGCTACGTGGCTGCATGTCCCGTGTGGCGCACACTACGCACTGCTCAGCGTTGCTCTCCTCATTCTCTTCTGAGCCATCATCACATTCTTTCATTCTCCAATCCATGATGCACCCAATCACAGGCGCTGTCAGCAAGCACAGTAGTTGCAACACCCCAAAAATGGAAGTGTAGAGAGCCACTGCAGGGAAAAAACAAAATTAAAAATAATTATTAGTCCAAGCGATACTGTAGTAGCAATAGAAAAACAAACAAACAAACAACAAAAAATCCTGTTCCTTTCCATTGATCACCTCTCTGTTGAATAACCCAGACCCTCTGGACTCACAGGCTGACAGGCAGAGCTCAAGGAGCTGGGACACCAAAGCCCCACTCCACCAATTGGCCTCCCAGAGATTTGACATACTGGGCACATTTCCTTCAGCCTTTCTGATCCTGCACTAATATTTCCTGAGCAGCAGCTCAACAGCAGGTAGGGCTCCAAAAAAGTGGAACACAGCAACTTCTTAGTGCCAGGGAGATTTATTCTGGCTAGGACAGACAGGAAAAGTTCTCACAAGCTATATGTGCTCCACAGCCAGACCTGCCTTAGTCATCTCCTCTCCTGCCTTGCTGGGAGCTGCAGTTACATCCCCTCCAGCTGGGAAGCTCCAGCAAGGACAATCAGGCTGGGAAGGTGAGGACTAAACCCATTTTGTGCTGAATGGACAAGTATGGAGGGAGGAGGAGGGGAGATTAGCAGCCAAAAAACCACAGCATTTGAGAGCAATCATGAAAAACTCAAACTGATGAAATTTCCCACACGCTAAAGACGAGAGAAGTGTCTCCATGGTTTGCTAAGGGAAAGCTGATGCCAGCAGACTTAGAAGAACTGTCCCCTCCTGTTACTGAGCAGTTCCCCCACCCTGCAATGCTTTTTCCACTTCCTCTCAGCAGCCCATGTGATGATTTAGGCATCGCACAGAAGGGCTGGTGAGTCATGGTGTGCCACAGCTCTGAAATAAGGATGTAGTTCTGAAACTGCCCCTCTCAGCACAGAGCACAAGTAACAGCACTGTAAGCAAAACAACTAAACCAAATTTTAGTTTGTCCCTCCCAAAGCATTTCTAGGTCTGGCCAAAGCAGTACAGCCAGGATTTACACCCAAATCAACTTAGTAATGGAGATAAGTTTCCAAAAAGCCTTTCTTTGTAGCAAAGCCTTTCCAGCTGTAGCAAACTTCAGCAGGGCACCTGATGATACTTTCCTGGCTCCAGTTGCTGGCAAAGGAACCAAGAGGAACTTCCAACTCCAGTCTCCAAACTAACCCCTGTTACTCCCACAAAGGCAAACCCTGAAGTGACCCCACATCCCCTCTCATTATAGCAACTGCTGCAGCCAAGACAAACAGGTGGCATCACCCTCTATGAACACTCCAGGATCTGGTTCATTGTTGTCTGGTTATTTTTTAACAGAAGGTAAGAAGCAAGCCACGCTGTCATGTTTTGCCTCTTCTTGCTCTTCTGAACACTTAATCTTGGGCTCTAAACAGCAAGTGCAAAGGCCAACTTGAATTAGGGAATGAAATTTATGGGGTCAGCAAGAGAACAGAAGGAAAGACAGTAGCTACTACAAAACAGGGCCTCCTCAACTTATCGATCATCTTAAAAAAACATTCTTTCCTGAGGAGAAAACACCAGAACAATACCTATCAAATACCACCAGAAGTAGATATGGCAGAAGGCTGGATAGAGCTTCTATCAAGGCAAAGGGAACACACAAGGGCACAATCCTTTACATCTAATGTTCTACACATCTTGTCCTCAAAACTATCCTAAGCAATCACCTCATACAGCTGAGTTTTTCCAGCCCTGATTCTAACCAAGGTTTCCCAGTATCACCACACTTGAAACCAAGGTGACAATTTATGAAAAGCGCAGCCAGATTTCAAGTTCTAGGCACAACAGGTCTACTCTCTCCTGCCCTCCCACAACACAATTACACAGTCATTTACAGACCTACTGAACCCTCAGCTTCTTCCTCACCTTCTGAGGGTTTTCAGAAGCTAAGCAGCCACAGGCTGACTGCTCTCTCCACCTACAGGTTTCATGACAGGTCTAAGTCACCGTAATCTGCACAGGAAGAACTTTCACAGTTTTTCAGAACTGTGCCTCACTGCAACTTAAAGGCATTGCTACCTATCTGCATAATTTCTCCCACATCCTTCTCTCCTGCTCTGCTCCCAGGAATGCTGAAGTTTTCTTTGACCATAACACTTGCAGGATTTGACTCAACTCCCTCCTTCCCTTGCTCAGTGCTCCCGAGGGCAGCTGCAGGTGGAGGGAGCTCTCTCAGCAAATCACGCTCAAGTAAATAAATGTGAGAGGGACCAGGGAGATCATCCCATCCTCTCCTGATCCACACAGATTACATTTCTAAGGAGCTGCACGAGCCTTGGAAGTGCTCTTGCAGCCTGACACTGCTGCGAGCAGACAATACCACTGTTTTGCTGATGCCATGGAAACACCAAGACAGCGACTGCACTGCATTGAGCCCAGGCTAATTCAGGGGGAGGAGGGGAAAAAAATAGGGAGAAATCTTAAAGGTGGCACAGAAAAAATGCAATATACTCAAGGGGCACAACCCCTGTTCTAGCACAGAGTTTGATCTAAACAGAATTGGCAGCTTATATAGTTAACATTAATTCTAAAATTCCAAGGAGGGGAGGAAAGGAAAAAAAATGAAAGAGAAATAACTGGAGCAAGCCAGGGTAAAAATAAATAAATAAAAATAATAAAAAACCTCCAGTGTCAGAGTTACAAGGTAAGCAGAAAACTAAGCACCTTTGGGAAAGGTAGGCAGTGTGAAGTTTGTCCTGTTTACTGTTTAATGCCTAAATTGGCTCCCAAGCCAGGAGATAAAGAGCTGAATGCTGCAGGCTGTCAGAGGCTCAAGAAACAAAGCAATTCAGGGAATGCCAGGGCACTTGGAGTTTCCTGACTTTCCTTCCCTTCCCCAAAGCTCACTCCTGTTTTCAGAGGAGTGCCTCTTGATTTATCAGCTCCATGCAATCCAGATTTAACAAGTTCAAACTGGATCTTACTACAAAGGACAAAAACAACTTTAAAAAAAAAAAAAAGTCTTAAGTCTTGTTTTGCAACCCTGGGTCTTTTGAACAACAGTAAACTAATGTACTCTTTCCTGTTTGCTCCATGTGCTGCATGAGAACTATAAATACAGACGAGTCCAGTGCGGGGAGCACCCCGAGCCTCCCCAGCACACACCAAGCTGCACAAAACAGCTCTGACTTCACTTCTCCCACCCCCGGCTGCTGGGCTGAGCCACCGAGTTCAACCATTAGTCATGAGAGTCAGCTGCTCTGCACTCTGTGCTTGCTTAGGGTAAGGAGAACAAATACCTGACGAAATAGGATTTCCAGTGAAAATAAAAATTATGGCAGTCCACCCTGAGAGGCTGCTTTCAACAACCTACCCGGGGAAATAACATGGAGCAGTATTTGACAGACACAGGGCTAAAATTAGGTTGACATTCAAGTGTCTACCTCGCTGCCCCTCTGTCCTGGGCTGGTTCCAGCCCTAGACTGGACCTACCCAGCAGCTGCCAGTGCACCACACACGGTGTATCTGCTGAGTAATCAGGTTCACTGGCCTCTTGTAAGGACCAAGCCTGAGGCAGCTCCCAGTTCCAAGGAAGCAGATAAAGAAAGGTCTTCAGAGATCCCCCTACCTTGACTTGGGTCTCCAGACAGAAACTCAAGGATGGTGTTCATGGCTCCCATGTAGAAGATGAGCCGCAGCTGAGTGACACACATGGTGATAAGGCTGAGCAACAAGATAGGGCTGAAGACACTCTTCATGAAGGAGGGAGAAGCTGCAGAAGGAATAACAGAGTCTGAAGAAAGCAATATACCTTGGTAAACATTTACCATTTCAGAAGAGGCTTCCACCTCTGGCCTAGCAGGTCTTCTCCTCAATAGTCATTCCAACACTGTGTGCCAGTGGCAGCTCCAAGGAGTTCACAGTTAACTACCCGGCACCTTACAAACTTCCATAATGAAGAGCTGTAGGTGCTTGGAGTTTGAGTACCAGTAACTGGAGCAAGGGAGCAGGAAGGAGGACTTGCCTGATACAGTGGATTGGAACAAAAGGAAACTTCAAACCATTTGCTTTCACCATCAAGGCCAGGTTGGACAGGACTTTGAGCAACCTGGGCTAGTCCCTGCCCAGGGCAGGGGGATGGAATTAAATGATCTTTAAGGTCCCTTGCAAGTCAAACCATTCTATGATGGCAACAGTCCACCTAAGACACAGCAGTGACCAACTGCCCTGTCCTCCTGCAGCCACACCCATTGCCATGGTGGTGTCCCCACCACTGGCTACTCCATATGTTGTATTTAGGCAGGGATACAGGGGCACAGGATTCCTTATATAACTGAACTCCTATTTCCGTCACAGTGGCTGGCACATGGCCCTGGCAACACCTGGATCACGTATCACTCTTAGGAACAGGTCTGGAGCAGAGCAAAGAGGCCAATGGGCTTGTGCCAGCACAAGCATCCCTGGGGCACTCAGGGAACCACACCTGCACTGTCAGGCTGGCACTTCACTTCCAGGTCCACTGTAGACAGGCAGAGCTTGTTGTTCTCTTGCAAGGCCGCCGGCTCCTTGGGGCCCTTCATGGAGCTCCCCACGCTGAGACGGCGCCCCACAGTCGTCACCTGCTTGTAAAACTGCTTCCCAGTGATCTTGTGGTCAAATCCCAGCCAGCTGAACTTTATTTTCACCCTGTTGGGTAGCAAAGGGCATGAGAGCTGCAACACAGGGTGAGGAACCTGAGGCAGCAAAGTTGCAAGAGTCAGAAAGGCTGTTTGTGGATTTAAGGCACTAGTTTCCATCTACAAACCCACACATGGTTTGGATCCAGAGCACATAGAGATACTTTCCCCAGGCCAATTTGGCACAGGTCAATGTAGGAATGCTTATGACTATGGACAGATTATTTTTCCATAATTCCTACGCTTTGGAAAGTTCCACTTTCCAGTGGTATTCACCAATAAAGACATAATGGTAACAGCAGACATAAATCCTCAACCTAAGAGGTGGCAGCAATAAACAACATGCAAGGGAGTTCCCTGTCCTCTCCTCCAAGTTCTTTCTGCCAGCACTTTCTAGAGATTTAAGAACAGGATTAGCCCTCAAGGCCAGGATAGAGGGAACTTACGAATAGTCCATGTCTTCTGGTCCTGGGAAAGGCTCCAGGGGCCAGTTGAAGAAACAGTTGAGGAAAACAAGTCCTGCACAGCTTGCCCAGACAAGCAGAATAAGGATGAAGGAGACCCCAAAGTCATATATAACCTGGAAATCACAAGGGAACATGTTTTTAGCTGTAAGAGTAGAAAGATCCTTCAATATTCTTTGAATGAGGTCTGAGAGAAACCGCTGGGAAAGAACATACTACATTTAAAATGGGTTAAACTCAGGTGGTTACAAAAAAAAGCAGTTTTGTGGCAAGAACCTTCTTCTTGGAAAGCCATCAGGAACTTCCCTGCACACCTGAGATTGGTTTACCTTTATATATCCCCCTTATGCCAACCCTGCAATCAAACAACTCTGGTTCAGAAGCAGTAGTGATCTATCCAGGCAGCTCAGGTGACTGTCTCTTGTCCCCTCAGTGCCTTTGCTAGCAATAAATTATCTTCAAAGCCAACCATTGGTGACAATCACACAGGTTAAGTGTACATATGTGGATTAAAAAAAATACATATACACGGCTCAGAGATTGAAAAATTTAAGATCTTTTTTAAGAAATTTGTTACTTCAACTTAGCACTTTTTAAATTTTCTATTTGCTGCATTCTCAAGGCAGTCACTTGGGAAGCCTTTAATACAGACAGGAACTGAATCTTGCAAATGCACATCTCTAAAAAGTGCTTTAGCAAACAGTCCCTCTTTCTTGCCACATTATTGCTAAATGGTGCAAGACGCCAGCACACCACCCCCAGTCACGAGTCTTGATCCCATGGCCTCACCTTGATTCCTGGAAAAGTCACAGCAGAGGAAGCATAGGAGCCAATCATCAGAGCAATGAACGTGGAACGAAGGTCACCAAACATGTTGGGCAGCTGGGGAATGAAAAATCGGTTGAAACAGGCTGGTGCCAAGGGAACGAGGCTTTATTGGGACAATATTGGCACTTAGGATTAAGGTTCCTGGATACCAGAATGTGAAGCAGCCAGTTTTACTCAGGAATGACTTAGCTCTTTAGGATATTACTCTGCAGGTTGCACTGGTGTCTCCAGTGACAGGGAATGTCTACAATTCAAGATTTATGTGCTCAGTGACACTGCTTCTTTCCAGACTGACAGCATAGTTTGCATTGGTCACCTTTAGCACAGGAATGTGTGCTCCAGCTCTTGCACTTTCTTTAAGAGTTTCTTACCCCAAAGTCTGCAGCCACCACCTCTTTTCCTCTCCAAAAAACCCGTGCCCAAGTTCTCTGTGCATCACCCTCTTTTTAAGTCAAAAGTTGTTAGACATAGGCCGTGATTGCCACAGTCTAACACACCCTGCAACACCTTGAACTGCCAGGTTTGTTTATGCACCTGGGGTCAGCATCCAAATCTTTCCAGTAGACCAGAAAGTTCCTGTTATGACAAGAAGGAACAGAGACAAACACGAACGGTGCTGCTGTTTGCATTTCCATTTCTAGCCATCTCCATGGCTCCTTCTGTGAGAGCAGACTCTCTCTAGCTAAAGCTGATAATTTCTGCATCATTTGGATGTCTCAGATGCCCAAGCACCCTATCTGGGAGCTAAGTGCAGGAAAGCAATCACAAACACTAGATATCCAAGGATTTATTGCTCAGCACAGCTACACAGCTGCTGAACTCTGTAGCAAGCAACAGCACCTCATGTTGCCATTCCTGCCACCCACCCCACTTCACTGCCTGGGCTCCCATCAGGTGTGTTGGCATTGCTGGGAGCAGACCAGGCTGGTTCTGCAAGGATCTGTTGGGAAAGCAGACAGATTCTTGGTAGGGACAGCTAGAAGCAGCTCACAGCAGCCACTTCTGCCACCTCAACAGGAAAAATCACTCCCAGGCTGGTTCACCAGCCCCTGCTTCCACTCAGGACCCAAAAGCAGAGTGAAAAAGGCAGAAAGAGCTGGGAGACCTTCCCACTTCTTTTTAAAGGAGGAACTCCCTGTTTTCCTAAACAACCAGACATGAGCAAGTTTCCATCACTCACCAATGATGGCCTGGAAACTGAAAATTACAGGGAGAGGCTTTGAAGTTGTTGGGCTACAGAGAGCTCGGCTGATACCTCCTGAGTCTGGTCAACGGGCAGAGATTCTGCTGCAGGCAGGCAGATTTCCCTCCCACCTCCTTTTTTTGGGTCACTTACTCCCCAAATTCACTTGAGCATCATTACCACGTCAGCCTCAGAGGACCTCAAAGCAGGACACTGCAGATGCCTTCTAGGACTGAAAGCACAACCAGCATTTTATCTGTGTAAAGGGGCCACTGCACAGAACAATTCAGAGAACATGAGACCGAGCCTGAGCAAGCAAATGCTGCCATCACATTCCCCTTCCACTGCTGAAAAACAAATCCATCTTTCCCAGGAGCAGCATATAAGGCAAGCAAATCTGGCTTGTGTCACAGCAGGAGCGGCGTGTTTACAACGCAAGTATTCCTGTGCAGGCACACTCCAGGATCCATCTGGCTGTTTATCATCCCTGTGTCCCACTGCAGAGCTTCCTATGCAGTGCAGCCTCCAGGTCCTCAGATAACCCCGGCCAGGGAGCAGCAGGAATGATGTGCCGGTGAACCCCGGGCAGAAAACGCTGCACTGCTCTGCAGAGGATCCCCACACCCATCCCAGATCCCCGCATGCGGGAGAGCTGCCAACAGGCTGCTCTCGGGAGCTGCAGGCAGGAAACGGCAAAAGGATCCAAAGGTCTGTTACCAGGCTCGAAAAAATCCCTCCTTGGAAGCAGTGGCCTAAATACACACCCCAGAGAACAGCATCTGCAGAGGATACGGTGTCTGCAGGCTGCAGAAGGGCTGGTCGCTGTTACCAGGCCGGGCATTCGCTTCATCTCAAACACCACACACCTAAAACGATCTCCAGAAATGACAACAAGCAGCTGCTCCTGCTGGGGAGCTCGGGGCAGGGCAAGGGCTCCACAAACACAGCTGCTTCTTGGCTCGGGGTGGTTCTCCCCAGAGACCCGAAGATCACAAAAAGCCTTTTTAATACAGCAGACAAGCAACTCCCAGGTGGATCCTCCTGCTCTGAGGGCTACTGGAGACACAGAACAGGCAACTATGCCTGGGAAGACCCAAGTCTGCTTCTGCCTTGATGGGCATAGAAGTCCTAGAAAGGCTAAAGATTTCCTAAAATCCAATTTGGCACCAAGCAAGCAGCTAGATTAAAAAAAAACCAAACCAACAAAAAACCAGAAGAGATTTAAGGTCTTATCCAACCCTATCAAAACAGAAACTGCAAACACTGAGCACTTGGAAGGAAGGGAAATATGAGACTACCTGGAGGGGCAGAGAGGAGGTGAAGGGGAAAAGTAGTCTATACCCAGACAGAAAACCTCTCAGACTGTGAATGCCAGCACTGGCAGGGCCTGGGCAGGTCTCAGCTAAGGACCAGCTACTAAAATAACACATAATATTTACCAAGTAATTTTTCATGCTGTCTTTATAGTAGCAAGCATTGGAAAAAATGAACCACGGGGAAGAAAAAAAAAAACCCTACAAAAAACACAAGCCACGGAGAGCAAGTGGGTTCTTTGTTTTTCTGCCACCAAAAAGATCTGATCCCCATTCTGTCTTATCTCTGCAGGCCAGAAGTGACTCCTCCACTAAGTTCTGCCCATTCTGGTACGACAGCTCCAATTCTGCAAGACCTATGATGACAGAAACTCTTCAGCCTTCTGTTTAAAGGTCAATAACACTCAATGTACTATTAACTTCATGTCCTGTCAGAAAGACACTAACTGAATGTTTCCATACGTAACTTTTCCTGGAATCCTTTATTGCAGGTGTGTAATCCTACACTGATAAATAATTTCCTCTTGCAGATTATTTTCTTATCTGCCCTATAGTGAGTTTGAGATCACCTTTTATAATTTTCTCAGCTTTTTCCTGGAGATAATCCATATACAGAAGATACCACAGCAGTACTACTAAACCCAGTTTCCCTCCTCTTGCAAGGACTGTTTGAAAAACAATGGAAGAAGTCAAGGGATTGAGAACCTGACTACTGGAGAATGGTATTTTTGTTCAATTAAACTTTGTTTTCCCTGTCGGGGGTGTATTTGGAAGGTATACAGACACTAAAAATATGTTCTCCAGGAAAGCTTCAAACTGCCTGCTTTGCTCAAAGCATATGGAAATTCTTGTTCCCATTCTCCAACAAACAAAAGCTCAGAGAGCCCTAAGTTTTCCTAATATTTCCAAGCAGATTCCCTATACAGAGATGTTCCCCCCGCCCTGATCATAGGGGGTTGTTTGTAGCAGAAAATAAAGAGCAAAGCAGCTGTAATTCTTTGAAAGGAAAACAGGACAGAGAACAATCTATAAAAGGCTCTTTGTGGTAATTTATCACACATGTTTATTTCTTTGCATGAAATTGCTGCGGAGCAGGACCAGCGCCAGATCCCTGTGTTGCTGTCAGAGCCACCAACACAGATCTGTTTCCATTTCCAATCTTCACTTATATTGGCTAAGACCAAGTCACAAGGCAGAAATCTCCCCTCTGCATTTTAACAACAGGCACAGTCTGACCTTGTTCCCAGAACTGGGAACAGCACCGTTTGCTCGCTCCCCCTCCTCCCCAAGCCACAGACAAGGCACCCAGAAACGGCAGCTTGTTTTGGCTCCACAGCCTGCCATGTGCTTTCATGATACCCTGGGGACTTGTCACTGAAAAAGGCTTTAAACTCAAGAGGCAAAGCTTTGTGCAGTACTGTCCCAGGCTCTAATCCTCAGAGATCCCATTTATCCCTTGCAGAGGCACGGAGGATCCCAGTTTCCTGCCCTGCCACGCAGGCGGCCCAGGAGGTTCCGACACCTGATGAAGCTCCCTGGGTGAGCACCCCAACCCCACACACTGCAGGGGCTCTCTCATGGACACCCAGCCATGAAGCACCAACCATAACCCACCCGGGGTGGCAGAAGACCAGCTCATGCACCACTAGGATTGACCCATTTCCTGGAGCACTTCAGGCCACTGGCAGCTGGCAGGGGAAGGGAGTCACCTTGCTGTGACTCGTGCGTGCACGTGTGTGCTCGGCAGCCAGGGCCTGTGTCAGCCAGAACGAGCTCCCTTGGCACCAGGAGCGGCTCAGGGCTCACCGCCCTGGCAATGAACGTCCTTACAAAGGTCTCTGAGCCTCCCCTTTCAGTGCTTACTCCAACCTCTCCTGGGCACAACACAGGGCACAGGGTGTACGAGCCACGTCACCCACAGCCTGCAAGCCGTGGAGCTGTCATCCCTATGGAATCATGGAATATGCTGAGTTAGAAGGGACCTATCAGGACTATCAAGTCCAACTTCTGGCTCTGCACAGGACACCCCAACAATCCCACCATGTGCCTGAGAGCATTGTCCAAATGCTCCTTGAGCTCTGTCAGGTTTGGTGCTGTGACCACTGCCCTGGGGAGCCTGTTCAGTGCCCAACCACCCTCTGGGTGCTTGATATCCAACCTAAACCTCCCACCTCAGCTTCATGCCATTCTCCCTTGTCACACTCCCTGTCTCTGTGGGCCACAGCTGGAAGGAATCCACAAGGTATCATCGTGTCACCACAGAAGGTGGCTCTTGGCACACCAACTGCGAGCTCCCCAGCTCGCAGGCAGAACCACACAGTGATCTGCCAACAACCAAACTACAGCTGCTTCCAACAGTCACCAGCACAGCTACGCTGTGATGCAGGTGAAGAAGTGCTTCCCTCCCACTTTAGATTATTTTTAACCACGTTCACACGCCTCAGGTACCAAAATGCCTCTGTGCAGCTGTGCAGTGAGGCACCAGCAGCTACATCTGACTCTGGGTTGGAGAAGGCAGGCCTGAAGCCACCTCAGCTCTTTATAAAAACACACTGATGTCTGGAGGGGGTGGGCTCCACCTGAGGCCTCCCTGTGTGATCTCACAGCATCACTACTTGCTTCAGACCTCCTCAAGGCTTGGATCTCTTCTGGGAAGATCTGACCTTTTTCCTGCAGTTCCTCAGCACTGAGGAACTGGCTCACTAATGAGGGTACTAATAAGTGGCTTTGCTCACTTCTTCTGGTGCTAAAAGCCACAGTACAGCACATCCAATATATTTCCTCCTTATCCTTGCCCTCATTCCTATCATCATCAGTGGTTCTAAAATAATCTGTGACCCCTCCATAATCACCCAGAGAGACAATAACCAATGCTGGCAGCAGCAGGGTGGGAATCCTCCCCTCTCCCACAGCAGTACTGATGTGCTCCTCTCTTCCTTGCTTTTATTTGAAGTGTGGCAGGATGACATTTGCCCCACAGTTCCTTGAGACCACAGCCAAAGCTCCCAGTGAAGAACGCCCCATACAAAGGAGAGAGCAACATCTGCACAGAGTTTTGAAAGCTTTGAATACACGAAGGCAACAGCAGCAGCAAAATCACAGTACACGGAGTGCTCTCGAAACCCAGCCTCTGCCAAATTTAGGTCTCAGGAGTTCAGCCAGTGATTAAGCCTTGTTCAGCCAGTGCCTAAGCCCTATTAAATTGGTGGTAACTTTAATAGGAAGTTTTACTTTAACAGCAAGTTCAAGGTAGTGCAGTCCACATCTGAAAGTTTTTGACCACAGCTCAAAAAACATCAGTGCTTCCCAGACTTGTTTTCTGGGCGACTTTCCACGCAGCCCTGTTTCAGCCATGCTGACAACAATCAGGGTAATGAGGCAGAAAATAAAGCAGTTATTTGGAGAATGATACTGCTTCTGCCTCCAGGCAAAAAGAACCCCAAAATGTAGAGATCCAGCTGACAGTTGTTGACCAAAGCTTTCCATACAATCCCTAAACTAAACATATCCAAGAAGGCTGCACAGATGGAGCTGGACACATTCAACAATGCAGCACTTCTAAGGAAACCTGCAAAGGACTCTCACCCTTCTGAAAGTAAAAGCTTTTAGTGCTCAAGAACAATCACTCTCCTGAGGCGAGATGCAAACTGCGCTTGCAGAAAGCTGGTCATACCCAGTTGCAAAGGGTTTGTGCCCTGCTGATTCTTCCTGCAGTATGTCAATGCTAAATCCAGTGCAAACACATGTCCAGCCTCTGCCAAGTAGCTGAGCACTGCATGTACAGGCATATGACAATGTGAGTCCCAGACAAAAACACTTCCTTTTTATCCCCCAACCTTCACCTGAGATACAAGGGGCAGGTGAAAAAACAGGACTGGGGAAAACAAGCCTTAGAATAACAACCTAGTTCTCAGTCCCAAGGGTGACTGACCCTTTGTACCAAACACAAACATGTGCTATTCAAGCCACGGGCAGAAGATCCACTTTGCTCTTTCCTGCCAGCCCAGCTCACAGCCACAGTAAGGGACAGAACAGTCAGGTAATAACTCTTCACTTACCGTGAGCGATGTGAAGGTCATGCACATCCCACCAAAGCCATTCAGAGCCAGTGCAATGAATATCAGCACAGACAGAGCTGCAACAATAAAAAACCTGCCCTTAGCTTTCACTAGGGTGGGGAGGGAAAGGAGAAAAGAGCCCTGAGGGCTTTGGCCCTGACACACAAAACCGTCAGCAGATCAACACCCTCAGGACATGTCACGCTGTTCTTGACCCAGCACCCATCTCCCCAGCCACACAGATCAGGAGGGACAGGGCTTTCCTCCAAAACAGAGCTCAGGATGGGATCATCTTTCCCCAGAATGGAAGGGTTTCTTTTCTCTAAGGAAAAGACTTGCTGATTCAGCTTGTCTGATGGGTCTTAAAAGGAAGATTTACTCGAAAGAGCTGGATTTAAAGTGTCATGTCACTGTCTGGTCTCGAGGAGCAAGCTCCATCCATCCCTGGCAAGAAAACAATTTACACATTGTGTGCTATTACCTATTTCCCAACCCTGAAAAAGCCATGAACTTGTTTGCAATTACTACTTTACAGGACCTGTCCTTGCCCAGCCACAAAGCTAAGAGACCTGGGTATCTCAGACATTTGGCCCTTGACTGTGCTCTCCACTTAGTGTTGTGAAACATCAGCCCTCCCCAGAGCCACTTGGCTCCCTCAGGCTGGCAGAGGCTTGGCTCATGCCCTCAGCAAGACCCCAGTGCAGCACTGGGGGTGTGACAGCCTGAGCACACTCGTCTGCTTCCCCAAAAACCCCAAGCCACAGCCCCAGAGTCCTCCCGGCTCAGCAGAGAGACGCTGACTTACAGTCTGGGTTACTGGCACCGTACGCGATCAGCACACAGGACACAGCAAAGCAGGCACTGAAAGGGAACCAGACCCATGAGTTTCTCACAGACAGCCTTAAACGCAGTAAATTACATCTCCCTCCTTCTCCTCAGCGCCTCGTTAAGCAAGCGCGATGTAATTTCTGTGAGAGGGAGGGAAGCTGGCAATCTGGAAAGAAAAATCCAGGGAAATACCCAAACGTTAACAGACAAACAAATATTACGGGCAAGCCTTGCACAAGGGCTGAGGCAGGAACCTTTCCTCCCAGTAATGACGCAGCTCTGCCTGGACTCAAATTCCCCACAGAGCTTTGCCAGCCCTCACCCCGAGGTGACCAAAGACAGCAGCAGCCTTTGTCTTGAGCCCCAGCTGTGGTCACAGCACTCACGGCTCCTCTCTGGTAGGGTTTGAGTCAGAGACTTGCCCTGTTTTTCCCACTCTGCCTACAGGCCAGTTTGGGTTCTGATCAAGTTCACTGCATTAAAATCGTGACAATTAAAACAGTGCTGGGGTCCACTGAGCCCAACAAGTCACTAATCCCTACATGCCACGATGGAAGCAGCTAAGACCTTGTTATTTAAGGCATAAAGCAACATACACCACATGGAAGAGAAGGGCCCTAGAAAAGGCAACAGGATGTGTTTATTCCCAAGTTAACTCCCCAGCCTGCAAACAATGATGTAACATCTTGGTTTTGTGCCCCTCAGGACACAGCTCCCAGCTCAAGGAGAAAGCTCCCCTCCATGACTCACAAATGACTCTCCCTCCAGGCTCCATCTGGACGGGGATCACAGAGCAACACTGAAGAGCAGAAGTGTGGACATGGAGTTCCAGCCCCTTCCCTTATGGAGCAATTCACTGTGCTGGCTGAAAACATCCCAGCCCTGTGCATGGCCACCAGCTACCAGCAGATCCCATCCCTCATACTCTTCCCAATGCTGCAGGGACACCACAACAGGCACAGCACCCAAACAGCACCCATCTGCCCCAGACAAAGTGGGAATTCACCCCTCAGCCCACCTGGGGGAGCACAGGACACCCACCTGCCAAGCAGCCGCAGCTTGCGAGGGCCGTACTTGTCCATGACAATTCCCAAGGGCAGCGTGATGGCACTGAGCAGGAAGGACCCGATGGTGAAGGCCAAGTTCAGCATTTCATCCTGGGCGTTGCAGGAAGGCCATTTGTGCTCTGAAGCTGTGCTGTTCTCGTGTTCAGAGATGTTGTTGGTGTCCTCTACACGGGATGAGAGAGGAACATGCGTTAGGATGGGGTTTGCAGCGTTTCAGGAAGGAGGGAAGAGAAAAGCCCCACACACAGGGTGTCACAACATGCTGGGCATACAGCCTCCACATTCCAGTTTTTATTATAATCAGTGAGAAATGGAGAAGGAGAGCAGCAGAAGGACAAGGGAAACCTGAGCAGGAAAAGGATGCACAGGCACCCAGGGGATAGGCATCCCCTGCAGCAGCAGGGTAAAAACCTAACAATGGAGATGCATTAATTTATTGAAACAACTATACAGCAAGGGCCTGGCAATTACAGGGGACTAAACCCGGCAGAACCTGAAGGGACTAACACAAAAATAGGTTCCTCCTAATTTACAGCTGTCATGTTCTCATCACAGATTTTTCCCTAACAAAACTAGTGACAGCTACAGTCAAATCAGTTATTTTGGTTCCAGACACTGGGCTGACAAGGCCTGGCACTGAGCAACAGCCTGCTCAAATGAATAGCTTCCTACCCTCACTGCAGGCATCAGGATGAGGAATGGCTTTGCAGTAGCCACCCTGCTTTAGCTGCCCTGGCTCTGAAAAATCCTTCCTGGATTTAACTACCCTGCTCCCAGGAGGGTTGGCAGCTCACCTGCCTTCTCCATTTGTTAAAGGATTGATGCATCTTTAACTCTTGCCCCATAATTAGCATTTTCTATTCTTTCAAAGTGGGTTTAGGTCGTACAGATCAATAATAACTCCAGCCTTCTGTTCTTGCCCTTGCATGAGGAACTCTGCATGCAAACTCCCACGCTGAACAGAGCCCACGTTGTGTAACCGAGACAGAAACAGGGCAGTTTAAAAAAAAAATGAAAGGAAAGAAGTTCCCTTTTACTGCCTCATGTCAACTCTTCTCCTGTTACATGCCTATCCCAAGGTTGCTTACAACTCCTTGAGTGAGTACATGTGCCTTTAGACTTTCATTAACCCACAGCTCCAGTGCACTCCACCTCTCCTTCTCCCAACACTTATCTGACTCGTAAGTAACCTTTGCTGATATGACAAAGCACTTGCTCTCTTGCTGCTGCAAGCCAGTGATATAAAACACTCTCCTCCATATTTAATAACTCATCTGACAAAGTTCAATATTAAAGGAGGAACAGGGAGAGAAGTCACCTACATAACCATCAGCATGCAGTGAGACTAGAGATTCCCAGTGAGCCCTGGTTAGTTAGTTAATTAGCAGGAATCCCTCACGTACAAGTGATTTCAGATTCACTGCTTTGTGTGGCTCGTAGAGGAGATTCCCTTGGCTGCTTTTGCCCTCCCTCCATCTCTAGAGATCACACAGCCCCATCTTGCAACTCCTTCTCTTCTACTTAAGCCTCAGCACCACTACAGTTACTGGCTGCACCCTGCCTCTCCCAGCTGCCCAAAACCACCCTCCCAGCTTTGTGTCTACTGCAAACAAACCTCACTCCACCTTCCAGCCATCAGGTATCAGCAGGAATTCAGCTGATATCCGAGGCTTTTGAGCTGCCTGCAAGCCTTCCTCTATCCCCTCCCAGCACTCCAGGGAAGGCAGAGGCATTTCTCTCCATGTACATTGTTCCCACCAACATCTTTGCTAAGATGGTCTCAAACAGCCTTCAGGCAGCAATGACTGTTCCTTCCCATTGCCATGTGCTCCTGATTGATAATTTAATCTGTCCCTTCTCTTGCCTTGCTATTTGTGGATAGCCCAAATAAGCAACAAATATCCCCAAAACACCACATGTCCCACCAGAGGCATCACTTTGGCAGGAAGGGCAGCACTGCAGCCTGAGGCTCCCAAGTCACATCCTTAGAAATCTGTCCTGGACAGACTTCGGAGGCTCTCTGCAGTTTTCACATTACATCTCAATCTTTTTCATCCATCTTTCCCTCAGTCTCCTCTTGGTGTGGCCCAGGATCTTAAATACTGACTTGAGACAGCAGCTCTGAAAGGCAGGCACAGGCTCACAGCTTCACCCACAGCATCAAGGCTTTTTGGGCTCTCCACAAAGATAAATTCATAGGAAACAGATGTGGGTGAGAGGTTAAACTCGGGAAAACAAGGGGAGAGGGAGAATTGAGAAAGTAGTAGCAGTTGCTCTGTGTCAGCACTGTACAGAGATAGCTCAGCTGTGGAGTGGAAGAAGGGTGGAGGGCCATGAACAGTGCAGTGACCTTTTAACTCCTGGCTGTGTGTGTTAAAGCATCTGTAACCCTCCACAGAAAAAGATCTCAAAACAGAAATATTCAGTATTTAAAGCTGGAGTACATGAATTCCTGAAAGTGTATTGATGTGTACAGCAGTGACATGATCCCAAGGAGCTCCCACACACATCTGCAGACCCTCCGATGACACTCACGATGGGCACCAACACCAGGAGGTGAAGAGGGCACAGCTCAGAAACAGCAAGGAAACTTGGCCCTCTCCAAAGACTTGCTGCAGCCAGGAAGGCTTGGAATAGGGCACCAAACTTCAGTCCCTGCCTGTACCAACCACCTTGTTTACGGCTGCTCAGTGCCAGCTCCAAGGAGGGGCCAGGCAACAGTGCTATGTGGAAATACAAATTGTTTGTGAAAATAGAAGCAGCCTCTGAGCAACAAGAGAAGATCCACTGAGGCGTAATGGAAATGATTCAAGCAGCCCTTGGCACCCTGACATGCTCTGATCCTTTGAGCCACTTCCATAAATAGAACATTTTGGAGGGGCTGCAGGTGTTTGCAGCACGCACAAGGTCCAGCCAAGAGCTGCCTCTTCCAGCAGCACAGATTCAGGTGCCAGCAGGTCATCAGCATAGGAGAGTGAGTGGCAGCACAGGACACGCAGGAGGAGTTTAATGGGCAGAGAACCTGCCTAACTACTCACCTACCTAACTCACCTGGTTACAGCAAACAGCAGTTCCCTTCAATCACAGATCCTGTTCCAGATCAGTGCACGCCACACTCCCGGGGAAAGTCTCCTACGTGCCTGGCTCCCTCTGCAGCAGTGCTTTGGGGAAGGGCTGGCTCTGTGCCCACAGTGGTGCCCTCCCCAAATTCTCTTGCCAAGTCCACCTGCCAGGTCTGACAGGCAGGAGAGACACCCGGGCGAGGAGCAGCAGAGAGGCTGAGCACACTCACCACTGCCTCACTGACAAGCCAGAAGAAGCTACAAATCTTTACCAGCAATTACAAGAACATGCTGCCTATTTTTACAGCACTCCCCATACAAAGCAGCAGGATTTCTACTGCCCAATTAGTAGTTCAAGTTACTATTTAAAGAATGACAGCTTAGGTGAGAACAAGGCTGCCTCGGTAATCATTTATGTCAAGATCATCACTGAGATTTGTTCAGGCTGGAACATTTAAAGTCACCCTTTCTCCCAAATTAGGTGCTGCAGGTTCCACGAGAGGGTCAATCATTAACTACTCTTTACTGACCTCTTCAAATCTCAGGCACACACATCACATTACCAGAGGAACAAGCCTGGCTTTTTCAGGAGCCATCTCAGATGGCACAGAGGAGGTTTCCTTTCATCTTGTTTCATGGATCAGACTGTGCCAAGCAGGCAAGACACCCCCAGCCACCCTGGCAATAGCTCTGTGGAACAAAGCCTGCACACCCTCACTTTCCTCCTCTATTTTTATATTAAAAAAAAAAAGAGAAAAAAAGGAGGGAAAAAGAGAGAAATCGGGGCCAAAGAACTGGGAGTACTGGTTAAAAAAAAATACCACCATGAAAGACATGTGCAAACAACTGATCTGCAGTCTGCCCACATAAGAACATGTTTTGTCTTTTCAGGATGGTGTCATACTTCTGGGAACTGGGAGGAGATGTTCTTGCTTTCTACTGCAAATGCAATTTATTCGGGTTTCCCTGTCCCTCCACTTGCACTTCCAGGACCCCCTCTCTGGGCACCCAGCTGAAAACCTCACAGAGCCAAGGCGCAACCTCCAGTCAAACTCCCTTCCTTCCCCAGCTGTGGTTTCCTCTTTGCAGCACCTTTCCCTGCAGCTCTGTGCTACCCCGGCAGCTGCTGATCGGCACAGTGTGTTTCCTGTGCAAATTGAACATTTACCACGTTTTCTCTCTTCCTGTTTACAGGGTCACCTGTGCAGCCTTTCCACAAACCGTTGCTGTATCTTCTCAGCTTGGAAGGGACCTTCAGACTGCAAATTCCCCATCACAGACTCCAAATAAGAGGAAAGAGCTGCAAGGCAGCACCTTCCCCCTATGCCTGTGTTAAAGCTCGTTAACTTGCCGTAAGTGAATTAGCTTATCATCCCTTTGGTATTCTGCAGCCCTGTCTTAGAGGAAAGCCCTCTGTGCCCCTTATCTCTGCTCTTTGTGAGCAGATTATCAAGTTCAGGACTTTCTTTTTTTTTCAAACGTGTTTCAGACCCAAGCCTTGAGCTTCCCAATCCCAGAAACATCACAGCAATGCAAGACCCTGAACTGATCAAATTCCCCAAGAGCTGATAAAGCCCAAATCCCGATAAAGACTGTGGAGTCAGCACTTGCACGGAATAAAAGATGCTGCTTCAGTTGGTTAAAGGCCAAGTAGTAGTGTAGTAAAATTAAAATGGGAACAAAGTGCTACTACCAGACTCCTTGTCAGCGAATTTCAAACATACCTCTCAGGAGGTGGCCAAACTGGTACAACCCCCCACTCAAACCCTGTTGCACAACTGCTTTAAAAATATTTGTTATTTTGGATTTTTTTCCTAGGTGTCCACCTCCACCCTCAGGCAACTGAGTTAAGAGTCCATTGGACCCCACATTTGTACAGTGGTTGAGTAAAATCCAACACCAGAAGCTAAGGGCAAGCAGGGAAAGTGGGTGATTCAATATGAAGACAAGGAGCCCTTCATGAACTGCAGCCACTTTCTGGGCAGCTGCTGTTACCTTCAGAGAAGAGCCTGCAGAAAGGACAAGGTCTAGTTTTCCCTTTCATTGGACAGCATCACAAAGTGCAAGAGCTTTTGCTGACAAACCAAAAGCCCTGCCAAGAACCTTTGGCTCATTAGGAAAAGTCTATTTTTTTTTTTGCAATACTTACATGCACACAGCAGCATTAGGAACAACAAGTGCCCAAAGGCTACTAGTTATAATTTGTTTGCACCAGCCTTCCAGCCAAGCACCCACTCTGGCTGCAGGATTCAATAGGTTGCCCTGAAAAAGGCAACCACTGGGCCATCCTAATCCCAGCAAAGGTCAAACTCAGCTTGAGGCTGGTCATTGAGAGCCTGCTCTCCCCACACTTGGAGCCAGGACCCAACCAAATTGTTACAATGAGGACAAAAACAGAGAAAGGAAAGTGAGTAAGCATGGATGAATGTGCTGCTCATCACAAGTGCAGCAGTGATGGCCAGATATTTGAGGACAAGGAGAACAATTTGACCACATAAATTTCTTTTCAGGGATTAGGTTCTCTTGCCTCAGAGCACAGGTTGGTCACTGGGAGGAAGCAATTACCCCCAGGGCAGAAATTTCACAGCAGTCCAAACATTTGCATCTTCCCTATGGTCTGTGGCATGGGCATTCCCATGAGGAGAGCCAGAAAAGCCACAGATTAGCAAATAGGGGTGAGAAGCCAAGGTGAATCTCAGAGATTTAGGACAAAGGCGGGTGAACTGAAAGCATGTAAAGAGCAGGAGGTAGGCCCCAAGTGAAGCTCTTGTCAGCAGAGCACATCTCAGGAAGCAGACAGGCAAATGCCTGCTCTCAGAGGCAGTCAGCATTTGCTTATCAGCTCTCATGTGCTTTATCTCGGTGGCAGAGAGTCTCCACCTGATGGGTTTAATGTGATCTCTTACACAGGCCTATGACAAAGTCTCCATGATCTGGAGAGCACAGCCTTGAACAGAAGCCCTACACAGCCTCAGCTGCTGAGGACTCTCCTCACAGTCTGGGATGCTACCGGAGACCTGAGTGACACACTTGGAAGCACCGCACTGTGAGCTGAGCACAGGATGGAGATCAAGCAGCCAAGCTACGGCTGGTAGAAGACTCAAACACATGTTTACCAGGTGCACCAGACCAGGCTCTACAGGACTTAGGCAGCCACCCTCAGGCACACAAAGCAGGAGAGATAACAAGCAGCTGATGAATGAGCAAAACCAAAGAACCATCACAGCCATTCACAGTCACTTTTTACTTGGACTTTGTTTCCCACACTTCAGGTTTCCCCCACTATTCTCAGCCATCACCCACTGCGGGTCCATGTACTTATTTCCAACTCTTTTTCTTCCCCTACTGCTTCCTCTTCCAGCCCCAAAGGGACTGATCCAGTCTGATCCACCACCACATATCTCTGGACAGAACCCAAACACCTCCTGCCTCTCTTCACTCTGCTCTTCCCTTCTCTGAACACATGCAAAACTTCAGTCAGTACAGCAGCTTCCAAATCCACACCACACCTTTACCCTCAGGCTCCTTTTAACCTCACTGTCCATCCTACCACACTGTGGGATTCCCCAGACCACAATTCTCCCCATGCCCAGGCTGGGGATATATATCTACCTCCAGGTTGTTTTTCCCAGGGTTATCCTTTCCACACCATGATTGCCTCTTCCCTTCCAGGCTGTGTCTGCAACATGGACAGTTACTTCCTCTGCCTGGGGCAGACAGTGAATCTCAAGCCCTCATAGAGACACAGCCTGGTTTGAGCACATCCTGGGTGCTTGAAGAGGAACAGAACATCAGTAGCATTTACTTCTGCAAATTATTCTTAACAGCAGCACTGGACTCCCCTAAATCTTATTGCCACTCACACTACTTTCCTCCCTACCACTAAGAACAAAGTATCTATATAGTTCCTTCTATAAACTCAGGACACCCTGCCCACCAATCATCATCCTCCAGAATCCATCCAGCCTTTCCCTGCAGAGGAAGAACTCATGGTCAAGTGGAAAAGGCCATCCAGAAAAGCTTTACTTAATCATTAAAGCTTCTTTTTCCAATCACTCTGCAGAGCAACAGCAACTATAGGCACATTGCACCATCACAAGAATGCCACTGGTTTTGGAAAAGAGCACACATCCCTTCCTTCTATCCCAGCACTGACACTGAGCTTGGCCCTGCTGCAGCCAGTTCCACACCATCCTAAACCAGGGAAATCACGCCAGCAAAGCTCAGTAGCAACCTATTCACGCAAGCCCCCAGAGCATCCTTACCTTGCCCATAGCACAGGTAGGAATAAAACCCTTCTGCCTTCAGCATGATGAGGAGGGACCCCCAGCCCAGCAGGACAGCAGAGAAGAGCAGGTTCTCGATGATGGCTGTGAATGCCATCCACCAGCGCCGGCGGTGGGCCGTGGCAAGTGTGGGGGCCATGGCTGCTTGGGGAGGTGGCCTCCTTCAGTCTCAACCTGCAGGGACCAGAACAACCTTCAGTGAGTCCACAGACATGGCACGTGCTGCTCAAAAAGTGTTAAAGGAGCAGGGTTTGACAGGAAACCTCTCCGAAGCACAAACGCAAACCTGCCCGCCGAGCGTCAGGCACTCGGGTGTAAAACTAGTTTTTGCAGGTACCAGCCTGCCAAGTGACCTGGAGGGATGGGGGAGCACAGGTGCCCTTGGAACAGCCCCTCCAGTGGACACTCTGCATGACACAGGAGCGCTCAAGGACTCTGTTCCACTTCCTGAGCAACAGGTATGAAAATGCAGCAAAGAGCAACTGCCCCGAGCCCAATCCCCCATCACCTGTACTGGGCAGGCAGCTCATTGGTAAGGCAGTGAAGAAACACGTGCCAGAGTGGGGGGTTTCAGCCAGCACCCCAATCTCCCTGCTGCCAGCAGGCAGAGGCTGGGACACAGCCCCACATCCCTAACAGTGGCTTTAAACTAGCCAACAGCTCTGCTCTGCCCCACACAGGGCACAGATCTGCTCTGGAATGTGAGTGAGGGTCCTAAACATGCAATTTATACCACCCATGGCTCATCAAGGAGTGCCTTTTGCTACCTGCCAGACCATCCAGCTGGGACACAGCTCACTGGCATCTCCAGCTTGCCCCACAGATGCTCTGGCCAGATTGACTGTCTCCACTTGTCCCAGTCCCTGGGTCCCATGGGAGCAAGCAGCAGATTTGGGAGCAGACCTGGCTGGCCAAGGGGCAGCTCTGGGGAGCAACCCTCGGGTCACAAGGCAGGTGACCATGTTAGAGAAGCTGAGGCTTTTCCCAGCCTGAGCACACCTCAATCTGGCACAATGGGGAAACCAGCTGGCCACACACCCAGCCAGGACAGCTTCCCAGGGTTTTCCATGGGGCACAGGCGCCAGCCCGAGGTGCTTTGGTGGGATGGGGGTCTGACCCAGCTCCCTGCAGTGGTGCCCCTTCCAGCTACAGAAACTGGCTCAAAGACCCCTGCCCTAAAAGCCAGTCTGCAGCCGTCCCCCCCATACCCACCCACCCACCCACGGCACAGGCCCCAGCACAGCCCACGACGCATTTCCTCCATCACCTCTCCTCCTCTTCCTCATCCCCGCACCCGCAGCCTCCTCCCCAGTCCCAGTCCCCTTCCCCAGCCCAGAGCCCCTCTCTGCGACAAGAGGTGCAGCCCTGCTCTCCCCCTACCAGCCGCCCCCAAAGCACACCCCATTTTCCCCAGCACACCCCACTCATGCTCTGCACCACCCCCGCGCCCCAGCTCCCCCAAACAGCCCCGCTGCATCCCGCTCCCCGCTTCCCATGCAGCCCCCCACCCGCCACCACCCGGCTCTCCCCATCCATCCCCTCTCCCTCCGCTGCCTGCCATGAATCCCCCCATGCACCCGCGGACCCCTATACACCCTATTACCCCCCAATCCCCCGCTCCTTCCCCGCAGCCTCCCCCCCAACGCACCCGCCGACCCCCTCCCGTGCAAACCCCTCCCCGCTCACACCCCACGCAAAAACCTCCCCCGTGCAAACCCCACCCCGCGCGCCCCCCTGCGAGGCCTCGGCGCGCCCCGGTGCTTCCCCCCTGGAGCCCCCCGCTCCCTGACAGCCCCCCCTCGCCTCCCCGTACCCCCGAGCCCGCTCACCGCCGGTGCCGCGCCCGCTCCGCTCCGCGCCGGTCCCGCCCGGGCTTTTTATCCCTCCTCCGAGGCAAAAACAGGCGCCGCCGCTGATTGGCCGCCGCCCCGGCCAATGGCGGCGCGCGCCGGTGCCGCTGGGGCACGTGCCGGCTCGCGCGCCCCCCCTCCCGGGACCCCCGGGATACCCGGGACCCCCCCGGGATCCACCCGGGATCCATCGATATCTGCCCCCGGTACCCCCCGGGAACCCCCCCGGGATCCCCGGGACCCCCAGGATACACTCGGGATCCTCTGATATCTGCCCCCGGGAACCCCACCGGGATCCCCGGGATTCACCCGGGACCCCATGATAACGCCCCCCGGGACCCCCAGGGATTCCCCTGGTACCCCCTGATATCTCCCCCCGATACTCCCCCCTCGGTACCTCCTGATACCCCCCACCCCGTACCTCCCTGGTGCCCCTCCTCCCCCGATACCCACCGATATCTCCCCCTGATACCCCTCGGGATCCCCCTGGTACCCCCGCCCGGTGCCCCCCACCCGGTATCCAGGTACCCTCCCCGATATCCCCCTCCTCCCGTATCCCCCAGGTCCCCTTGCCCGGTACCCCCGCCCCGGGCCGCACCTGGTCTCTCCCGGGACGGCCACACGCCCCCGGGACACAACACCCGCTGTGCGGGGCGGGCACGGGACACACCGGGGGGGACACACACGGACCCTCCGCGGGGACCGTGACACGCACGGGCACCGCCGCCTTCCAGGGAAAAGGGAGAGAAGCGGGACGGCGGCGGTGGGGAGGTGATGCGGGATGAGCCCCGCCGGCCGCTGCCCCGCCCGGCCCCGCGGGGTTCGGTGCCGGTCTCCGCCGGCCCCGGGCGGCAGCCGGAGGAGCCGCAGCGCGCTTGCTGTGCAACAGCAGAGCGGCTCTTGCTCGCACAGCCCGGCCGGGCACACGGAGCCGTGTCGGTAACAGCTTCTGTGCTGTTGCTCCTCTGCCGCGGTTACAGGCACCGGATCCATCCTGTGAACCCACCTGTCCTGCAAATCCCACCTGTCCTGCTCCCTTGATCAAAGAGAGAGCAAAGAAGCTGCTCTTCCCTCGTTAAAAGGCCGGTTTGGGAGCAGGCACCCAGTCAGCTCGTTCACAGAACCACAGAACAGTTTGGATTGGAAGGAACCTAAAAGATCATCTAGTTCCAGCCCACTGTCATGGGCAGGGACACCTTCCACTAGCCCAGGTTGCTCCAAGCCCCATCCAACCTGGCCTTGGACACTTTCAGGGATGGGGCGGCCACAGCTTCTCTGGGCAACCTGTGCCAGGGCCTCACCACCCTCACTGGGAAGAATTTCTTCACAATATCTAATCTAACCCTGCCCTCTAGCAGTGGGAAGGCATTCATTCCCCCTTATTCTGTCAAAGTCCCTCTTGAGCTCCCTTGGTGTCCCTTCACACGCTAGAAGGTGCTATAAAGTCTCCCTGGAGTCTCTTCTCCAGGCTGAACACCCCCAGCTCTCTCAGCCTGTCTCCATAGCAGAGGTGCTCCAGCCTCTGATCCTCTTCGTGGCCTCCTTTGGACTTGCTCCAATAGATGCATGTCCTTCTTATTTTGGGCTCCTCACAGCTGGACAGAGCACTCCAGGTGGGGCCTCAGGAGGGCAGAGGAGAGGGGGAGAATCCCCTCCCTGGACCTGCTGGTCACACTGCTGGGGATGCAGCCCAATTTCATTAAATAAAAGTAAAATCATCACCAGCCACAAGAGCAGCTTCACACTCAAGCTCACCAGAGCTCTGCTCTCTTTTTCTATTAAATTTATTTTCACAGCATCTTTCTGTGGAATTTCTAGTCCTGTCATAAGCCCAGCCCTCATTAGTGAAGTCCTGGGCCAGAGGAGGTGTCCATGTATCCCTAGAATCATTACAGGGAATATTTTCTCAGCCAAAGGAGATGAAAATAGCGCTTGGGGCAGGTAAACAGCCCAGAGGAAGCAGAGGGACGTGTACCCACCACGGCACCCCTGTGAAAGGGGCGGGCTGGGGTGGGTGGGAAGAGGAAACTCCTCAGCCTTGGCTGTGGGAGAAGGGTCAAATGCTTCAACAGCTGGAAAGTGGATTTAAGCCAATGCAAACAAACAAACAAAAGCCCAAAGAAAACAAGGCAGCCTGGATCAGTGCCATGTGTTTAGCAGAGGTAGAGGAAGGCTGAGACAGCACGAGACCCTGGGAGACTTGAGCACCCAGACCTGGTTGCTGTGTCCAAGAAACACAAACTGCGATAGGAGGGAGCACGAGGAGGCCTCAGAGGCTGTTTGGGGACACGGGAACCCTTTGCCACAGTGAGAGCATGGAAGGGGCTCGGGTGTCCTATCCTAGAAGGAGAAAAGAAGCTATCAGGTGATTCATGATCAGCTATAAATACCCCCGGGACTAAGTAAACAGCATGGGGAGAAAAAAAATAAAGTGGAGCTGAAGAACAGTACTGACACAGAGACACATTTATAGAAACTGGCCAGGAATGAGCTCAGGCTGGAAGGGAGGTGACAGCTCCTGCTCTGATGGAGCCACTGGAATAAATGACGTGATCCTCTTCAGATGCTTGGGAAGTTTGGGAATGGAGACAACAAGGCTGCAGGTTAAGGGACAGACCCCCGTGGCCATGAGGTGCAGCTCGAGCCTCTGTTCCTACCTGTGAGCCAAGAGCTGCCCCAGCAGAGCACAGACACCTCTCTGCTTACAGACAGGACCTGCACACGGATCGCTTCCCACTGTCTGGCTTAAAACCACTGCAGCAGGATTTGGAAAGTCAGAGATCCAGCACGGGAAGACATCAAACCCTCCCTCACCCGCCCGCTCTGCAGGTCTCCCGCATCCAGGATTAAAACCATGGCAAAGCCTGATTGGAAGCATCCCCAGCAAGAAGACACCAGCGCAGCCACGCTGCCGGTGTGTGCATGGGCAGCCACACGCTGGAAATCCGCAGCTCGTTTCCCTTGCACCGCCCAGAGAGGGTGAAGATGCTTCATCTTCAAGCCGGGGAAACATCCTGCCTCGGGCTCAGCCCGTGAACACGAGAGGTTCTCGCAGCAGCAGCGTTCTCTCCTTTCAGCGGCAGGAAGGCTGTCAGGCTGCTGTCAGCTATTTACATGCTGTACCCGGGGCAAACCAGCTCACGTGACGTTCACTTCTGGCACAACACTGCTCAGCTCACAGGCTGAAAATATCCACCCGATTAGGGAAAAAAATGGCTGCTTATAAATCAAACGTGGGACTGTCCCTGCCTCTGTAATAAAACTGTCAAAACAAAAAACAGCCTGTGCAGAGCAGAGGTCTGGCCAGGCTGCTGCTCCGGTCCTGCCAGGATGAGCAAATATTTTTACTTGTATACCGGATATTTGGTGTTATAATCGTGGCAGTGGGTGCTTCCACTGCAGGAAAGGGTGCTTCATGAGGGCTGCAAAATTGGAAGCCTCCCAGCCAAAATCAGGACTGTGGGGATTCGGTGCTTTGCACTGTGGAGAAGCACCCACGAAAAGCAAAAGGGTAAAAGCAAAACCTACCGTGTTTTCTGAAACACCCCAAACCCTGAACCTCAGCTGAGCAGTGCCAGATCAGAAGGAGACCACATGTGAGGTTCAGGCTGCAGTGTAGGTGCTCTGGATGCTCACAGCCCGCTCACATTCCCCCTGCACCCCTGTCTCCAGCTCTGTGGAGAACTCGACTCACTGAGTGAGAGTTCAGAATTCAGCAGAACCAGAACATGTAAAAAAACCCACCAAAACCCCAAAAGCCTAAGGCTGCCAACTGTTCCCACACTTTGGAGAATATTCCTGGCCATGTCTTTGATTCAGAGGGTGGTTGGGAAACCCATCTCCTGAAGGGGTTTGGTAACATTTAATTTTCACTCCAAGGCTTTGACGCCACGCGAAATAACAGAAAAATATACAATAAACCTTCTACCACTTAGATACATCTAAAACCAGATCAGGCTGCAAATCCTCTTTGACATCTCAACCGCCTTTACAGCAGGAATGAGGCGTGAGAGATGGCAGGAGCTTAGGGCACCCGTGGAAATCCTGTTTTCCGTGCAACTTTCATCCTTATCAGGACCAGCACGGCGCCAGGTGCACAGGGTTGATGGGCACTGCCCAGCTGCCACGTTTGCTCTTGCACAACTGCAGCCTGGTATTGCGTGCAGTTTAAAAGGCTGTGGCTACACCCCATGCCGTGCCACAAGCCTTTCCATGAGCTACACAAGTACGTAGAAGCAAAGGCAGCCAGGGCTGCCACAGAAGCCACACAGATAAACCCCTGCAGACCCAGATACCCTTTGAGATAAGCAGTTAAAATTAATTTTCTCTGAAGCTGCTCGTGACAGCCCATCATCTCTCCTCAGCCCAGCTCCACAAAATAATCCCCTTCAGTGAGAAGCACCTTTACAGCAGGAGGCTTCGAGCAGCATCACTGGAATTGGGACAGGGAAAAGCGAAAGCTGATGGGGTGAAACTCTTTCTCGCCTGTGCATTTCCCAGCTGAGCCTCCAGCAGCCCTGCTCCTGTTTAAGAGGATGTATGTCCCCAGGCCCACTGCCGACAGGGACTTGAAGGTGTCATCATCACATCCAGAGCATCGCTGTGCCCCCAGACTTTGCAGACACAGATGTGGCAGGTAGGGCAGGGGAGAGCAGGAAAGCAGCTCTGAAGCACCACAATTCCACAGGCTGCCACCGCTGTGGCTCTTGGCATCACCCATCTCAGCGGCTGTGCCAGCCAGTGAGGGTCCAGTAACACAACACAGAGGGAAGAGAGGGGGTCAGGGAAAGGCTCGATGCTTCTCCAGTTCACAGCTTGGAGTGGGATCTCAGCTCCCCCCAAGATGGGGTTGGAGGCATCCCCTGGGCTCCCACTGTCCCAGCCCGGGCAGTGGTGGCTCAGGTGGCTGCAGGGGTGGCTGGCAGCTCCTTGCCAGGGCTGGAGGGCGAGTTGGCACCACTGTTGGTCACATTCTCATATTTGGGTTCTTCCTCCATGGCAGCCTGTCCCTTTGTTTCGAGGCTGACAACTAACTCAGGG